CTCGGGATGCTTCTGTACAATGTGATGATATAAAGTTTGCTTAGCTTTGTATGACGCATCACAGTTTATACACTCGAAGGGTCTTTGAGTATCATGTTTTGCCATGTGCGTTTTAAAAGAGGCCCTTTTGGTTGTTTTGAAATCACCATGTACACATTCATATATCTTATTAGAAACTGCCTCGATAAAGTCAGGATGTTTCTTTAGAATATGGTCAAAGAGCGATTCCTTTCTTTTAAAGGACGTGTTACAATGTTCGCATATGTGCAGGTTAGAAGCATTTGCATTAGTGTGTTTAGACATGTGCTCGGTTAAATTTTTTTATGAACGGTTTTGAAATCACAAAATGTGCATTCATGTATTTTAGATGAAACTGAACCGATATATTCGGCATGCTTTCTAACGATATGATCATCTAGCGACGCTTTGTGTTTGAACGCCATGTTACATTAAAACCCATTTCAGACCGATCGGTATAGTTACAAACATAGCGGCTAAACAATTTTTTTTCTTCTTCCATCTGTGAGCATCTGTGTTTCCTTTCCCAATTTTTCTTATTTGTGCACTGAAAAAAAAGAGATTAAAGATTCTTATTCTTCGCCGATAATGAATCAGAAATTCACATATCATCCTAGAATACCATGTAGAGTGCGAGGATTAAATGAGACTCACCTATCGTGCGTCAAATCATCGATTCGTCACTCTCATTTTGATGTCAATTTCTTCATGTAGCACTAATGCGTTCATATCTTCAGAACTTGTGCTGCTCATAGGTGGTTTTTCTTCAAGCTTTACTGACTCTTGGAACTCCATCTGGTCAACATTATCAGCCGTCGAGTCAGCTTCAATTCCACGCTCTAATTTCTCTTCAACTTTGATTCTAATTATTGATTGAAGGGGGCATTTTAACATATGTTGGCTAATTTACGGAGCGACTCAAAAAGGTCGCCCTTCCTACTTATTTTTCGAACGGGATGATGAAGTTGACGCAAAATACAATATTTTAACGTGGCATTTGGAAATTTCAAAATGACGGTTGGGCCACGTCTTGCGTGTTTTTTTCCTCAATAGAATATAATCACGTAATGCAACTGAGTGAATAATAATAAAGTGACATTCACCAACTTTTATTAAAATAAAACCATTTAAACTGGGTGTTCGGATTTATATGTCACTTAGTATATATATACTGTTTTGATCAGATTTTTGAGAAGTTCTATACCTATACAGGGTGTTCCTTAATGACATGCGAATATTTAAGGGTGTGAATCTACATGAAAAATTAATGTTAGCAACTAGATATTATTGCTAAATTGCATTCTTCAATTGTTACATTAATTTTCTCGGACAATAGAACGGTTTTTTATTTTTTTACTCCGAAATGGCGTATCGAGGGAAAACAATTCAAGAGAGATCATTTGTTTTAAATTGAACGGGGAATTCAAAAATAATTTTATTTGGCAAAAAACCATTGGCATACCATTTTTTCTTAAAAAACCTAAGTCAATACCCGCGTACGCACGCAACTGTTAAAGCTAAAAATTATTTTTGCGTTGAAAAATATGCGACTTTATTAACTTTCACTATGTACTAAATATCGGTGAAATATCTGAAGCGGTTCTGAAAATATTAATTAATTTCCATTTTTTTCCTAAAACTTCAACACCCCAACTTTTGCAAGGAAATATTTTTGGACCATAGTTTATAAAGCAAAGTAACAATAATTTTTGATGTAGATACACACCCTTAAATATTCGCATATTATTAAGGAACACCATGTATATGTATGTCAGGAAGAACAATAAATAAATAAAAACGTGTTCTTAGATCCACCTCTGGCAATTTCTTCATTCCAAATTTCAGCTTGCTAACTTGACCCATCCAAAAAATAAATATGGGCGACCTTTTTGATCAGCACTGTATAACTGACTGATTTGTTTCTCTGGTAAGCAAAATTAGGCCACCTATCCCATGTTAAATCAGATATTGTATCCTCAATATATTCAGATTTAATGTCTAATTCTCCATTCAGAACAAAAGTCTCTATATTTTCACACTTGGCGCTGGGCACAGTTGGTTCTGTATCTAATTTTTCGGATTTAACTTCAACCAGTAAATCCATCTTTGATTCTAAAACAATGTTAACTTCAGACAATGATTAGTATATAGTCAGAATCACGAAAGATGACCATACCATAAATTGTACTGAAGTATTCAATGGACGTACGTCGATGATAAAATCACGATGTCAGGAACATAATGGCAACACATTTATATTATGATTTTTCGAAGTTAGGTTATTTCACTGATTATTTTTATTTTCATTTTATTTCATGGTTTTGAGTGATACCTTAAATAGTGGGGAGTTTTTGTTATGAAAAAAAAACGGTTATGAGTAGAATACCTTGACAGGAACACCAAATAAAAAAGTATTATTCGAAAACAACATAACCTGCTTTAACATAACCTAACTATTCATCTTTCAAATATGATCGATCATGCAACATGAAAATATCGTCTATCTTTATCGTATATGTACATGGAAATTAGCAAACAGCTTGTTTAGACAATAAAATTCTGTTTATCTCTGTCTAACGTATCTGAAACTTCATTAAAAATATTCACAAATCGCTGTCGTTTGTCTTTACTACAGACTAAAATGATGTCGAAATCGTCATATTTCGTGATTTCGATTATATTCTACCAAATAATAATTGTCATACAACAGGGTGTTTCATAATTGAATGTCAATATTTAAAGAAACGGGCATTTTTTAATGTACCATTTTTTTTTTAGTTCCAGTGGTGCTGGTACTGAATTTCCTCCACCTATTTTGGTAGAGCAGACTTTGCTGATACACCACTGATCTGTCTTAAAATAAAAATTATTTTTGAAGTTCCTAATCGTTTCCAAGCAATTTGATTGCTTCTTTTTTTCAATCCTATGCAGGGTTTCCGCTCAGAAAAATAAAAACTGTAAATATTTTTTTTTTGTATTTTGTTTTGCGTGTCGATGTTTTTGAATAATATTCCGGAACGGGTATTACATAACTTGAAAAGTAAAATATTTTTTTTGACATTTCGTAGGTGTTTTGTGACATAACGTAGGTTTTTCTAAGGGCCGTATCGTCAGCCGTCCCTACAATTGTAGGGCGCGTTTATGGCCTCCTTGATTTTCATACTTCTTTCTCTCCTTCAAAAATTTCTAGATTACACTTGTCCCGTATCAGCGTCAGCGCTCTCCTATTGTGAAGATATGTTTTCTTTTTAAATTGTAGGAAATTTCAGGCTGATAAAACATGATATAACTCAAAAGCAAGAACAATTTGATGCAAATAGATGTTTGTGACATAACCTCAAAATAGAGCGCTGACACGCAGAAGTAGAAAACTATGACAATCAAGGAGGCCATAAAGGCGCCCTAAAATTGTAGGGTGCGTTTATGGCCTCCTTGATTGTCATACTCTTTTCTCTCCTTCAAAAATTTCTAGATTACACTCGTCCCGTGTCAGCGTCAGCGCTCTCCTATTGTTAAGATATGTTTTCCTTTTAAATTGTAGGAAATTTCAGGCTGATAAAACATGATATAACTCAAAAGCAAGCACAATTTGATGCAAATAGATGTTTGTGACATAACCTCAAAATAGAGCGCTGACACGAAGAAGTAGAAAACTATGACAATCAAGGAGGCCATAAAGGCGCCCTACAATTGTAGGGACGACTGACGATACGGCCTAAGACAGCACATGTTGTACACTTGTGAATTCGTTTTATGCTGTACGTGTTGCTTAAACGTCAGCTAAAAGCGATCATAGCGAGCAAAAGTGGAATGAACTATTTGTAGGTTTTTCGCATAATAGCCCTGCTGGCAAGCTTCAAAGACAAATGACAATGTCGCGACATGACTGGTATTCATACCTATCCTAATCTGCTACTAGAAGGGTTTGTCTCTGTCTGCTACGTAGTCAGAATAAGTTGTTCTGACCTCTTAAAAGCCTATCCGTTCGAAATCAGTCTTTGGCTTCATATAATACTGGATATAGGCTGCTGTTCGCTTAATATTGAATAAAATAACTCTCTCAAAGATTGTAAACAATGTTCTCAAATTTAAAAATAATCGGCGCGACGTTAAAAAATGAAAGTAACAGTAAATAAAAGCATCACTTTTCTATATTGTTTTTCTTTTTCCACAATCAATCTACGTTTGACAGTTTTGATCACAATCACACAAGCGCTGCCCAGCGGGAGAAAATTGGACTTGCATACCATTGGTTTGACTAAAAATTCCTAGATGCCGCTAAATGGTCATTTTCCTTTTTTTCGATACGAAACGAGTCAAAATATAAGGCGTATTCTTTAATTCACCGGTTGAGTCTATAAGCTATATAGACAAGTTTGGTGTACAACCGGTCGCTCGGACGGAAATTAAAAGAAGTAAAATTGGTTAATTGGTTGCACCGGTGACTCAACCGGTGAATTAAAGAATACGCCTTATCTAGTGGATACCAAATAAATCCGATGCACGTCATCGATCTGGAGCTGTTCGCTGTTGCCAGAGTTTGCACATTTTCTTTTAAGCAAATAAATTCAATAAAATAAATTGTTTATATACCTACCATTTACTATAACCATTGTATTTAAAATAAATAAACTTGTTGTAAAATTAAATTCCTTTCTGAATAA